TCCTTTATTTTTTTTTAAAAAAAAAAAAAATGTATGTTATTGTAGGTTAGGCTGCATTACAATTATGCAAGTCTTGCATTAGTTACATTGTTACATATTATATTTGTAAATGAAAAAAAGAAAAAAATGAGTAGAAATTGTTCAATACTTTTCTTTTTTAATTAAATATTTGGATGTAACTGAAAGTGATTTTTTTTTTGATTTCGATATTTAACTTTTTTAATGCAGTGATTTCTCATCTTTTCATTACTATATTATTAATCATTTATTACAACAAAGTCTAGCTAATTCTTCTATCAATTTGAAATTTTTTCATTTTTCATTGATAACTCTATGACGGAGAATTGATCTATGATGACAAGAATTAATAATATTAGATAATATGTGCTAAGTTGGAAAGTTTTTCTTTTCTTGGCGAATTGACATGATTATTTTTCTATCGTTAAGGAATAAGGAATGGTGAAAAGAAAGTGGAAGTTAAATTAGATCAGAAGGAAGAGATCTTTCGGAAAGTTAGATAGTCAGAGAAGTGCTAATATTTAATAAAATACTTTTAAGAAATTTTGAAAATGCCAGCAAAAAGAAAGAAGATAAAGTGATCTTAAGCTAAATTTTTAACTGTAGTGAAATATAAAATGCAGCTAAAAATGCATTCATATTAGAAATGGCAGAGATTAAAAAATTTTAATTTATATTAAATTAATTTAATATTAAAATTGATAATTTCAAGTGAATTTCCTAACGTAAACAAATTGAAACGAAGTTACTATATCACTGGAACTAATCGGATATCAAATACAACAAATAAGAGAAAGTTTTAATCAATAAACATATCACCATAGCACTTGCAATTCAGTGTTCAATTCTTTTTAGCTAATTAGGAAAGCAAATATACAATAATTATGTTACTGTATTGCCTAAGGCTAAATAATTATTAAATTAAAATAAGCTAAGAACTAGCAAAAAAATAATAAACATAAAGAAATGATGATAAAACCATAGTTATCCATCCACTGAACAATAATTTTCCAAATTATATTTGAAAGGAAAACTTTTCTATATATTTTTTTTACTATATGCGAATATAAAATAGTATTTGATGTTATATTAACTATATTAACTTCTCTGTTTTTGGTAGCAATAGTTAAATTTTGGTTAAATTAACGACGTATGAGATTTTAAATAAATGAATGAAAAAAATATTGAAATTCAATGCTATAGAAAAATTATAAGTATATGAATAAGAACGTTTTTTTTTTTTTTTGATTGAAAAAATTTTTAAACAAAAACATGAAGGATAAGTTAAAATGATAAAAGAAAAATGATTGTAAAATATGTAAAGAAAAAAATTAAATCTTACTCACTGAATATAATTTTATATATTTTTTTTTTTTTGCATTTACTATACATTTAAAAAATTATTATGTATAGGATAATAAAAATTTTGAAATAATTAATTTTCACAGTTTTACATAAACAATGCAATAAGACTATCGTCGAAAAATATGTAAATGATATCGTTGGAAAAAATGAAGTAAGTAAAATAATGACCGTAAAATAATAACATTTTCATAAGCATAATGAATTTATTTTAATTTTTTGAGCATATTAAATAATTAATATCGAATTAGAATGAACTGAACAATACAGCTATTTACAATGAATGAATTATCTTCTTCAAAATAGTAACTAAATATATAATTTGAATAGAAAATCAGAATTACTGTTTCAGTTATATCAACTTTTTAGTTAATGCTCATTTTCATTCTTTAAATTTTTTAATTTTTACACTAAATCAAAAAATAAAATAAAAGGAAAATAGCTAAAATGTAATTTTTATTTCATAATATCTTTGTGGATTTTTTTTTTTTTTTTTTTTTTTTTTTTTGCTATTTTACTTTATTTTAACTCTTTTTTTCTTATCGACTTGAAAAACAAAAATAATGTAATTAATATAAGTATTATGCTTTAAATTTTCATTTTATTAAAATATAATTTAACCCAACTGACATTACTAAAATATAATTTAGCTTAATTGATATTACTAAGTACTGAAATTAATCTACGCTTGTCAACAACACTAACTAGCTAAGTTATTTATCAGATATTTTACAACAAATGATTGCTACAGTAATTAATGATATCATCGATACTAATAGTATTTTGCGAAGAGAAACAAATCATTCAAATGATTACGTATTTATTTTGATACAGCCTAAGCATACTATATTTATTTTTAATTATAGTTATAGGTAAGTTAGATATCAAAAATATTTTGCAAATTTGTGGAAGAATGATAAATGATATAAGTCATAAGGAAGTAATTTGAATAATTGGAATAATTGCAATATGAGAAAAATTGTATTATAGCAATACGTATTTACCAATTTAAAACAAGAGTAAAATAAATGCAATTTATAAGTAATTTTCTCCATTTATATATCATTTGTAGATAGGTATTAGTAATTTTGCATGAATAAAAACAAAAAATTTTCCCTTATAGGAAAAAAGGAAAAATTAAAAATTTGATTACAACATCTTGAAAAATTTAACGGAAAAAAATTATTAGATTTCATTATGGTATAAATGTATATTATAAAGATAAAGTTTTTCCTGCTTTTTTTCTTACTTTTATCTTCAAATGCTCATAAAAATAATGATTTGTGAGGTAAAAAACTAAGATAAATTATGCTAATACTACCGCTGTCTAAATTTAATATTTGCAAACAATATCACTTAGTTATATTATTATTATGATTTGAACCATGATTTCGTTATTCAAATCAATTAATTATAACTGTAAAGGGCTAATGTAGAATAAATTGCAAAAAAAATCAAAATTTCTTTATTTATGATATGTTGTTTTTGCATAATTTATTTCTCACTACTCAATCATGAAATTTTAATAAATTCACGTCTTAGTAAACAAGAAATAATTTTCACCACTTATGTTTGTGCAAAAACTTCATTTTAAATGATTACTTTAAAATATTAGAATTGAGAAAGGGAGTAAAAGTAAAAATAAATTAATTGGTTAGTAACTGGATCCTATGTCAAAGGTCAGTCAATGCACATACGCTAAGGCATTATTTGGAGACATTTAGCGATAAATATTATGTTTTTCTCTTTAAAGCAATACTTATTATTTTTTGTTGGTATGTGTTTTCTCCTTTTTTTTTACTTTTTCCGAAAAAAAAAATGAAGATAATTTCATTTTAAAATTTTTGAAAAAATTCTTAAATTTAAAAACTTAAAAAAGATAGTGAAGAAAAAAGGAAAAAACCTTTTATCAAACAATTATTTTACTCCAATTTAATTATTTTAAATTAAAGATTGAAGACAAAGATAGATTTGGTAAGAAAGATTTACACAAATGTTAAGTTGCATGAAAAATGTAATTTAATATTTATGAATACAAAAAGTTTAAATTAAATATTACGACAACTTTGATATCAATCATATGCGGGCATGATCAAAATATACGAAATGAACGAATATGAGGAATTCTACGAATTTTCGAAGTAAAATATTGGAGTCTCGCAACAATCAAGAAAAACAATTACTCCGAACAGGTGGAAAGTTAATTTTGACATCAAGTAAGCTAATGTTTTCTCTTATGGTAAAAGCTTATTAATTTAAATCACATTAGGGAAATATTATGTTTAATGAAATGAAATTTAAAAGCTAATTTGAATTGTTTTAGAAATTTGTTACAGTTAATAAAATGAAATTTAAAAATTAGAATTGCATTAAAGAATAAAATGAAGCATAAAAGGTTTATTATCCTCCATGTATCTTTCAAATGAATTCACCGTTAATTTGTCAACGAAATTGTCTCATCACTGATGTCATTCGATCCACAGTTACGGTCACTTCTAAGGTATTTTCCCATAAAGAAACGTAATAAGAGGAAAGTTGAACCAACTCGTCCATCTATAATATTCATTCTTCATCCAACCCAGTTAATCTTAATTAGTAAAATATGAAATTTTGTGTATATGTCTGTGTTTTATATGTCTGTCTGTCTGTCTCTCTCCCTCTCTCTCTCTCTCTCTGTGTAGCTTTATTCAAGCATTAATACATCACTAAAAGTTTTTGTTATGAAGTCTTGAAATTATTGAAATCTTTTAAGAACAATTACCACTTCATATTGATATTATCATATGATAAATCAAACTCTTTTCCTTATATCTGATCATACTTAAAAGTATGCCCAAATCATTTATTATAATTATTACAAATAACTACAATGCTAATTAATTATATGATCATAATTATAGTTTCCTCTCAACAAAAAAAAAAAAGATCTCGACATTGCTACTTATTATCTTATAATTCAATTGAAATGTATATACATATATAATAAGTAAAAGTTTATTTCAAAAAAAAATTCATAAAATTTTTGCATTTGTATTTTGATTAAAAATTTTTTGAGAATCAACAATAACTCATCAATTTTTTAACTTTTTATTTCTTTTAACTTGCTCTAGACAATTTTTTAAAAAATGCAATTTATCTTCTTTTTATTTTAGCTCTCTGGAGAATGATAAATAGATTCAGTCAAAGTATCAATTTTTATACCATTATTTATTTAATAACTATCACTATGACGACAACTTCCCGGTGATCCTAACCGATGAATTCGTTTAAATTTCTTCTATTTATTTAAAAAAAAATTTTTTTTTCTTCTCTTCACAGTGTATTTTTTCATCATTTTGTAATATAAATGATTATTTGCTATATGATGAATGAAATAAGAATTGCAAGTTGGAAAAAAAAGTTTCAAAAATGAAATCATAATTTTTGATAAAAATTTTCATAAGAAATTAGCAAATAACAACTTTCACTTCTAATTTCTTTCTTTTTCTTTTTCGATTTCTAATTCCAATTTATGCGTTAAAATAAACAAATAAATCGGGTAGTGATGATCGTAATAGTTATCATTCCAGCTGCATAATTGAATGTCATAAAGGTAGCGACAAATAATCGATAACACAGGGATGAAATATTTTTACTGCATTGTATTTTTCCTCCCAATATTTTGTTGTTTCAACATCGCTAACAACAAAAAACTCCTTATGGTACTTTTTTTTTTTAATAAGATAAAAAATGGCAACAAAATAAAAGGAAAAAATGACATAAGATTTAATTTAATTTATACAATTAACAGCTGGTATTTGAACACAGCGACTTTGTTGAAATTTTTAATGTAGCAAATCACTAAATGTTAAATTATCAACCAAATGATTGATAAGAAAAACATAGTCTTTATCAATTATTGAGTTGATAGCATTTAATTATGACAAAAATATATGGGTGTTAAAATTAAAAAGATAAATTGGTAAGACTTAGTTTGCTAAATTTTTAAAATTCAACAAATTAGTGTAAAATTTTGTTTAGTAAATAGATTACTATATATTAAAAAAATATATTATTATATATTAAATATTTATAGATATGATAGTTTAGTTTAGTTGATAAATAAATCAATGCAGTTATACGATGTGATCATTCATACGAATGTTTCTAACAATACACATATTACAGTTATATCCAAGGGAACAAGTAATGGAACGATTATTGGAAAGTTTACCAAAAAGGGACGATGAGCATGTAGTAAATGTATGCTATTTGTTGTTGAAGCTTTTTTTTTTTTTAAAAAAAAAAATAATAATCAAAATGAAAGGGAGATTACAATTTAAAAATGAAACGACCAAAAAGAAACATCAATCAAAAAAAAACTCTTTGAAATTAACAAAAAAAAAAAAGAAATTCTAGACACGCAATGATGGAATAAGCGCATATATGGTACGGAAGAGAAATAATGCGGAATTGGTGAACCATATATTGAAAAACTTGAATGAAGTCGACCTTCTTGGTGAAGTGGGACGATGAATTATACAGTGAATTCATGAGTAATCAAAAAATAAAAGATAAAACATCGTCACGCTATAAAACCTGTGGTTAGAATAAATGTTATATCTCTAGTATTTATTGCAATGAACATTTAAGCAAAATTTGGCAATTTTCAAATGAAGAATGTTAAAAATATGGCAGAAAATATACCAATGTCATTTTAAGAATGAAATCTATCACAATATCATAAAATACTTCCTCAGATTTGCATTTCTCCAACAGCGAAAATAGTGAAAGATCAAAAATACTCATTGATACTAGAAATATCACTATCCATCGCGAACATTTACAGAGCAATTTTCTAATACTCATTCTGTAAGAGTGGCAGCAAATTTTTAATCATTGTAATATATTCCGCATGATCACACATCAAAATTCCAGTTGTAAGTATACGAGGTTTTAGAATACACTGACAAAAAAGATCCTAAACGCTTGAACGTAACTGATTTCGTAATTCGATTACTTTACGACGATCATCGGGGGGCAGTAAAGCGATCTGTTCTTCACTTAATTGTAATACCTGAAAAACTTCTCCTGAAAATCATGAAAAAAAAAGCAAAATTTATCAATATGGTACACTTTACTTATTTCGCGTGTGATACTTCTAGAAGAATAAAAAAAAAGAGCTTTTTCAGAACATAAACCATCTGGTAGTGAAATGTTAGGAGAGAAACATCTTTTGCATAACATTCTTTACCATTAGCAATACTACTAAAAATTTTGCAGAGATAAAGAAAGAAGAATATTGATTAGTGGAAAACTGCTTCAAAATTTAGAAAAAATAAAGCACACCTGCATCAATAACTGGGCTTGCTGCTGATCATCAGGACTAAGCTCGGGGTCGGCTCCTTGTGGGGAAGGTGCACGAGCAACTGTAGGTCCTGCTGGAGCTCTAGCGAAGCTAACAGGTACTGATGCAACTGCTGAAGGTGCCATTTGAGGCATCCCTCCAGGGAATATTGGTTGTGGCACTGACGGCATCGGTACTGGCGCCGATGTATCTACAAACGTTATAATCATACCATACGAATATCTTAGGTAGGAAAACAAGATAAAGAACAGCTTTGACCTGGGAAAGTTTGCTGTTGTTGATGCTGATGAAATGGTTGTGAAATCGCAGGTGTCTCACGATGAAGCATTGCAATGGCCACTTGTGGATCAATAATTCGCATAACTACCTGCGCCTGGAAGATCGAAACCTTATAGTTTATCCAAAATTTTTTTAGGAAAGCATATTTTAATTTAAACATGCGAAAATGTCAAGCACTAAAGTTGTTTTCAGAGCAGAAGTAAACTAACTAATGCCGTGAAATATCTTATGGTGAAAACACAAAATTAGCATTCAAAGTACGGGAATGTAATAGGACTGGCTTCCTTACCATTCACAAGGTTCAATACATATGATTAGGGACTGGGATAAGATTTCAGATTCTAAATTAATCTAAAAGAGAGTCACAATGTTAGCCTGCACTGCATCTTGACTTTTTTCTAAGCATTGTCTGTATTAATAAAGATTTTACGGTGCATTAGATATTATGAATATCAGAAGATTAATTTTCTACCACTACAGTACTATTAAGATGAAAGAAACCTGTAGAAGAGCATATGCAAGCTGTGGATTGTTCATGAGCAAATTTTTTGCTTCATTTGGATTATTATGAACACACTGCTTCATTTGTTTCATTAATTCAAACATTTGTTCGGGTGGTAGTGATGCCACTGATCGTGAAATAGCTTCTGGTGCTTTCTCAGCTTCAGTCTCTGGACCATATGGACTTTCTTGTGCTTGCTGCTGCAAATACTGAAACAAACAGAAGCTATACCTTTTTAAAAAGTCAACAAATGAACTGCTAAATTAACTTCTGCTAAAATTTTAAGCCACATATAGAAAAACACAAAGAATCACCTCTGCTTTCCAAGTGAGTTAAAATAACAAGCAATGTATATTTGGAAAACATGAACGTAACCTCCTGTTGCTGAGCTGCAAATGCTGCTTGTAACTGTTGAACTTCATCAGCACTGCGATCACCACCAGCCGCTGAATCAACTCTTAGCGGACGTCCATTAAGCTCAAAGCCATTGAGATTTCTAATCAAAAGTTGCATCATCAAATGGATAACAGTTCTTTCAGAAAGTCTCAATATTTAGAAAAAACCTCAAATTCACTGAATTCCAATCCAATGGAATATTCTCAATGTTACTACGTATATACGCCACAAATTTTATATACAAACGTTACAGTTTGCACAGATCAACTCAAACACGAAATAAAGTCAAAAAAGCCTATGCTTCAAATATTCATTCAAAAGAAGCAATAATATTTTGAACTGCGACAAGCTTAGAACAAAAATGATATTGAATCCGATGTCATTAATCTGAATTTCCATCTTCAGATTTTTCACTGCTAAAAAGTTCTGGAAAATTACAATACCTGATTGCACTTTCGGCAGTTTGAGAGTCATTATATTCGCAAAACCCATAACCTTTCGGTTTGCCTGTATCCCGGTCATGAACTAGCCGCAAATGAACAACTGCTCCCACCTGCAAAATGCATAATCACGGATACGAATAAAACAGCACGATGCGAAATAGTTAATTTTAATAAAACAATTTTCATTTTTTTTTTTTTTTTTTGAGAGAGAGATTTCCAATGCTTGTTATTACGTTATTAAGATTGGAAATCCATGGCCATTATATAACAAAAACCATTACAGCATCTTGAAAATAAGCTATGGTACCGAAGGATAACATCATCCATTAGTTTTCGACTTCAATACAAAGTGTGGAGGGAAATAAGAAAAAAAAAAGAGAAAACAAATCATAGAAAGTGTATATTACAGTTTAGATTACATAGTTCCCACTCATTGATGTCAGCTACATGAACACAAAAAGAAACACATAAATAAATAAACTGCAATTGCTAGTTAAGGGGAGTAAGGTAGTTAAAAATACAAGGCATAAGTACAAGTGACAAATTTAAAAATTTGAACGGAAAAGTGCTCCGAATTAACAAATTAGAAACATATAATGCCACATTACCTAAGATTATGAAAAAATACAATAGTGAGTGTAAAATGGTAAAGAATTAGTAGTAATAACCTGAGAAAATACTTGTTTTAACTGTTCCTCGCCCACTTCATACGAAATATTACCAACTAGAAAAGATGAAAGTTTATTATAACTAAAAGGAAACAAAACTGGAAGTTTTTCAATATCTCATAAATTTTCGTCCAGTGCGTTCAATAAGTATGTGATAGCGGTCCGCTTTTCTATTACCTTTACGAAATTGGAAAAAAATAAAAAATAAAAAGGAATGTTGACATAATTCATTGAGCAAATTTTGATGATAAAAAACAAACCAAATACAGATCGCGCTGATCGATCAGTTGTGGAAGGTGCTGTTTTTGTTGTGCATGTTACAGCGTTGTCACGTTCACGAAATGCCATCAGATATAACGATAAAGAATAAATCGATGAATGTTTACAGATATAAAAATTCGATCAAAAATACTTTAGAAAAAAGATGCTGAAGATAAGAAAACATATTAAATTAACAACTGACAGCTGAATGACGAAATATTATAATGATAACAGAGGACAATTTCGAAAAACTCATAGCTTAGCTCAATAGATAGATTAATGATAATTACACATATGACACATATCAAAATTATTATTCAGATAATGTATTGCTTTTTTCTTCCTTTTTTGGCGGAAAAAAGTGAAAAGTTAGGCGAGAATAACACTCTGCAATTTTAGAAAAGAACCTATATAGCAAGAAGAGCTTTTGTGGGAATGTCGTCTTTATGAAAGTGGGACGAACCGTATTTTTGGCATTCGCAATGAAATACGGAAGCAACCGCCAAGTACTTTTAATGTCTCGTATAATTTGTAAGTTTAGGGAAGGCTAAGTGGGGAAATGCGCCGAATATTTATTTGGATTTCGTCCATGACTAGAATTCGAGGGTATGAACGAGTTAATGTGATCATAATAACTTTAGGAAGACTTGCTGCAAGATACTTTAGATTAATAAGAAAATCAACAACTGTTTTAGCATCAACTTTAAACCTAATTTTGGCTTATAATAAAAGTGAAAATCAGATTTTATAAGAATCGAATTTCGCTACGCGACAGTCGATTATCTTGTTTTCTCAGCATATAAAACTTTGTAATCGCTGCAGATTCATTTCCTCATCTTTTTCTTCACAGTAATAGAAACGAGATTTGCATTCTGTCTCAAAAAAAAGGAAAGAGAAAATCATGAATGTATTTTACTCTTTGTTTACCAATAGCTTGTTAAACTAATAATTTAAATGAATACTTAAATACTTTACTAAAATTGTTTCACTAAAATAAAGCCTTCAGAAAGCAACGACGTATTATTGATGAATTTATACTCCTATCGTATATTTTAACTATCCAATTGAATGCATATAATTTATATGCGTCACAAAACATTTTCATTTATTTCATTTCGGCATTTACATCATCTATTTTGCTTCAAATCACGCAACAATTACCACATAAAATCTGCCTAGAAAAGAAAATTTGATGATCTTGTCGCTTAATTGAAATAAATGGTATCATTTTTAGAATTTTTTCTTGTTTGAGACGTAATATAATAACATGATAAGCTACTTCAGACTCTTAGGAAGTGATTTAAATAAAGTTGCTATTAAATATCAAGTGGCATTAAAGTGTTACAGCATGCATAAATTCCTATGTGGTTGGAAGCAAAATAAACAGTGGTATAAAAATGATTCAAAGCAGATTTCACAAATTTTTACGTTCAAATATCATGAATTCACAACATAAGAATTTACAGGGAAAAATTATTACGAAATAAAGTTACATTGTTTAGGTTATAAATTAATACAAAGCCTTCATATTAACTACAGGAAAAAATATAATAAGACTCTTACATCTATAGTGAATTTTAGCACATAATCTTTAATAGTTCGGCCGCAACAACATAATAAACTAAATTCTCAGAATTAGGATGATAATATGCAAACGTTCTCTAAAGATGTAAAATTTCAAATTTTGGTAGATTTGCATTTGGTCTTAATATTTTAAAGCACAATTTTTCTTCACAGAAAATTAGAGGAACATGTATTTAGAATAATTAAAATATTTTTAGGTATTACCCAACAGAGAAAACGCTTAAATATGTAAATTATTAACCTTAGTTAAAAAGAGTATCGGTTTCTTTTATTTGTTTTTTGTAGAATATATAAGGGATTAAGTTTTTATTATATTTTTAAACACAGTATTTTTATTAAAAAAATTTTTTTTAAAAAAAAGTGCGAAAATGTAGTAAAATGGAAAACAAATAGTATTGGCAAGAATAAAAACGGAAATACCATTTTTTGCCAATATGACGCGATTAATTCACTAGTTATATTTTCAAAGGTGTTACTTAATGCACGCCTACATATTAATGCATTTAATTTCAAGCAAGGGATCGTATGGAATTTTAGGTATAACACGTGTACTTCTATTACGCCTTATAAGGCTACTGAATTTCGGTCTTTGATTCAGACGCTTATTATCAGATATTTCACTGAACTTGTAGAAGTGTCTTTTTTTTTTGGTTCTTGGTTCCGTTCGCTGTTATTCCAACTTCCCAATACTTTCCAGAGGTGAAGTGGCCAGTTTATGTTTAATATTAAGCTGTATTACATCCTTTTAGTCATAAAGCAAACGTCGGTTTTTCGGTAGATCGCGAGCTAATCAGCTTATTGTCCCAGTTCAATTCTTAGTTCCTGAATTTTCCTTTCTGTGCCTTTCAAAAGTTTTAGTTAATAATGTGTTGATTTTGGTGGATCTAAGATGCATTTCGCAGCTTAAGAATGCGATTTTATCGTATTTTTCAATAAAGTAACTGGTATGAATTAGAAAATCTGAAGATATTTCCATTTAGTTGATGATTCCCGATTTTGTATTGCCATACTACAGTATTTATCAAGTAGCTTCTCATGTTCTTGTAGTTTAATCATGGTTTAATTATTTTGTAGATTATGAGTTTTTGCTACTATCACTAGCCAGTTAAATCAATGTTTTTCTGAAACTAATGGAATTTCTTTTTTGCTTCGTTTTTAACAAAAAATTTAGAAAATTAAGAATGCATACCACTGTATTAGAAGGAAAATCTTGTTCGTTGCCTAGTTTAAGCTCACAAATGTAGGAGGATTAGATAATTCAAATTTAAAATTGGTAATCGAGACTGGTAACTTCGTTTTATGGCTAGGTTTTAAATGATTATTTTGCGGTGACTTTCAGGAAGCGTAAGGGAAGCTGTGTGATGGGCTTTTCGAATGGCAACGGTGGTATTTCAAGAAGAAAACAGATAATGAGAGGTCGGAAGCGTGATGATGTGAGTTTTGATTACCTTAAGAAGTTTATCATCAAACTTTTTTTGGCACAGTATTAGCTTTACTGACATAATATTTCGAAATATTGCGTAAAGTTTTGAACGTTTCATCTTATATGATTGATCCACTTCCTCACCACTGACTATATGTTCTGTTATTCAAGCTAACTGAGTTGTTTCCAGGACTGATTTTAGTAATCTCTGATATTATTTATGTTTTAGTTACCGTCTCTCGGCATTGTTGCCAGACGAGCAACTTCGCGATATGGCTTATCACGGCAAAACAAAACTGTTACAGTGAGGTATGCATTCGGATCCTGATTATTACCTTTGACTCAAGAAAATGACCTGAAACATTCTGGATTCTCCATATGACCTCCAGAAGTGTTCATCCTTCATTTCATTTGCTATTTTTTCACTGGTTAGAACAATTAGGCCTGAATTCGGGATAGAAATAAATAGGGTTCCGGACTTACGCAGGTTAGCGGAATGTGCTGGGAATCTGTAGATATGATGTTGGCAATTTCAGAATATTGCTGGAAAAATATTATTTTTCGATGAAAAATCACTGCTTGTAAATTTTAAGCGGGCGAAGAATTGGTATAAATACGCCAATCAACAAATATGCGAATCGAAGAACATCTTTTTTCAAATCGATTCGTCCACAAAAAGCAACAAGTCAAAAGGCAGAATTACGGTGTCATGATGCATTATGGGATAAGGTATGTTAAAGCTTTAATGAACCAGCTTATTTTTATCCAAAGCACTTTTGATAAGTGGGGATTGCTGAATCTATGATTTCAGAAAAGTTGCCGAATTTGTTTATCTGGAAGATAGTTGTTATTGCCAGGGTGATTGAATTCAAAATTAGTAACACGCGTCTTTTAGAGTTTCGGATCTTTCCATAAATTGTTTGTTTCATAGATGATAATTTTGTCAAAACAATGGTGTAGATTTTTAGAGTGCTTTATTTTATGAATTTCTTAGGAGTGGTTAAGTTCTATCCAGTTTATTTAGGATGAGAAGATGGTATATTGTATCATGACACGTGAAATTATGATACTATTGCTCATAAAATGGTTTAACAACTTCATTGTTCATAACTTTTTTTTTTTCAAATATATGGTGACAGTGTAATGCTTTTTTTTTTTTTTTTTTTTTTTATAGTGTGAACGTCTGTTTCGAATAGGTGATATAGTTTCAATAATAGATAAGGATGATGGTTTGTGTTATTTTGCGCAGATTCGAGCTTTACTATGTAATCAATTTGGTGAACGTTTTGCCGCTCTTACTTGGTAAAATATTGTTTAAGTTTATCGACTAATTACGCTGTTTTTAATGATATTCATAGTTTGACACTTCTTGATTTTGAAAAATTCATCCTGGACATTCTTTGTGAAAGAATGGTATTTTAAGAATAAGCCTCTACGAGAAGCAATTCTTCAGGTTGGTTCCCACTGAATCAGCTGATGAAGCTCACCATTTTGATGCAGAACATTTTGTGCATGCACTGTCCGACTCAGTGATGTATCCTCTAGAGGTAGTTGTTTTTCTTATTTCATTTTTTATTAAAAATGTTCAAGTCTGATAACATTTAGCTATAATTAAAATAACATGTTTTCGAACTTTTTATAACTATAAATTCTTTAGATGGTATATAAACAAAATGTAGAAATACGGGTACTGAATAATGTTTGCAATACAGTTTTATTTTTCCTTTCCAAAATTGGTCAAAAACTTCTTTAATGCTTACATTTCAATAAAGTCCAGATATTGCCAATGATCAAATATCAGATTTATTCATCGATTTCTTTCTTTTGCTTTTCTTAGAAGAGGTGGGGATTGCAGATTCATCACGAAAGAAAGTTGACTGGAATTTGTGCCACTTAGTGCAACGCTTTTCTCCTTATTGATCAATAGCAGTAATAGAGTATATTGAGCACTATTTTTTCAATGAAATTCATAGTGCTAGTTATCTAACCAAGCACTTGTAATTTATTTAGTTTAGTTGTGGTGAAGCAATAAAACAAGTTACGCGACGTATTCTTTATAAACTTTTGAAACTTTAAAGGAGTTAAATTGAATTCTAGGTTTGCACATTTGTACAGCACGCTCCATTGCTTCCGGGTTATTGTCATGATTGGAGACCGCGGTCTTTAGTGGAAAAAAAATTACATGAACAGATGGAGGAAAGAGTTCGTTCTGTAAATACAATACCAACTAAATTAATTGCATTTGATGAAAAAATTCCGTTGTCGAAATAGAAATGCACTTCAGAGCAATGTTTCTTATGAAAGCACGGATTTATAAGCATTTTGAAAAAATTTTCTGAATCTTTCTCTTCCTTTATATGTATATATACATTGTTCTTAAATTTTTTAAATTTGCCTAATTTTTTTTTTTTTTTTTTTTTTGCGTTTAAACTGTTGAAATGTTGGATATTTTGCTGATAAACTGTATTTTTTCGTTTGACTCATTTTTGCATTTTTCCGATATTAAGAATAGTTGAACGATGAATATAACAGTCTGTGAACAAAAACTGCTAATTTAATGTTGTATGAATTAAGTACTTTTGTCAGTCTTCACACGACATTTGTTGATGAAATTGTTGACGTCACTGGAACATTGATGTGCGTCATCACTTGTTTATTTGCCACCTTCATGGTCGATTGAACAAAACCTCGAATGTCATTATCAAGCAACTCATTCTTGACAAAAAGTTTGAAGAAGCGGAGTTATCTGTTATTGTTGGACAGGGAAACTTTTGAAACTAGACAAAAACAATTCGAAGATTGGGTTAGATTGAAAAGCAACAAATTGTTCAAGTTCAAATCAATAAAAGAATGTAAACAATTATATTGATCTGCTACGTAATATGCCATGTATGCCCGTTCACACTGCATAAATTCTCACATATTTGGCAATACCATGAACCTTTATTAGTTATCAGAACTTACCAAATAAATGAATGAAAAATTTATGTGCAACATAATGCAGATAAATTTTTCATTCGTTTCAATTTATTCCTCAGATCATTTGAATTATAAGGCGTAAAAATGTATAACTTAGATATACCATATATACATAACACCACTTATGACGATGAAGTAAAAGGCTAAAACTATGCTAATTAGGATTGAATAAGTTTGATTAATTGTTATATAATTACGTTTGTGATAGAAAATATGTTAAAGATAATTCTAAAACTAGAGATTAAAATTAGAGTATAGTAAGTAGTTAGAATAATATGGAAGTCAGAATGAAATTTTAAAAGAGAATACTAGCTGGAGAACATATTTGTATGATTAGCAGTTGTGTTTGCTACGTTGTTCATATTTTTTTCATCCTAAAAATTTTCATTTTTATTTCTCTAATTTATGTTTTTATCTCTCTCTCTCTCTCCCTCTCTCCTCATATATATATATATTGAACTATAAATAATGATATATATGTCCAATACGCTATTTCTCTACTGAGGTTCTTGACTGTGCTCATTTCATATTTTAAGCTTTCTATAAAATTTTTCGACTAATTTAGAGTGAAATATATTATTGGCATTTAACTAATTTCAATTTTTTATTCAAAGAATTAATTTTGTGTAAATGAATGAATGAATGGATGAGTAAATGAATAAATGAATTAATTAATAATTGATTGAGTGATTGATTGATTAATTAATTAAATAAATGAAAAATTAGAAATGAATTGAAATTTGTAAATGCATTCAATTTCTAACGGATATAATTATATTGAATTATGTTTTTTTCAATCACATTTTTTTGTGTGAGATGTTTTAAATTAATCAAAGAATTTTTGATGGATTAATTTTTTTTTTTCTACTGAAATTAAAAATGTCTAGCAATGTTGAATGATGTTTCGGTTATCAAAAGTATTCGTTTTATTCTTCTCAATTTATCAAATGTACTCATTTGGGGAAACCAACAAAAACAATGGATCCACGAAGGTTTTCCTAAAATCATTTATACTAGAATTGAATTACAAAGTTACAAATTAGTATTCCTTAATGAATTTCTTCGATAAATTTCAGAATGAACTTCTATAATATAAAAATTTACCTGATAGCCTGTAATTTTCTATTCCTAGTACAATTGCTTATTACGAAGAATTGATTAAAAAGTTGCAAATTTAAAATTTGCAATATGATAAAAGAATTTTTTAAAAATATAAACATTATTGCGTGTCGAGTTTTCATGAAATTATTTAGCAGATGCATTACGGAAGCAATGATCAAAGCGAGGATGACACATGCGAACACTTCTTGAAGTTTTTACTTGTCAAAATTGAGGTAGAAAATTTGTATTTTATCAGAATAACAATTTTAACAATATCAAATAGAATAATAATAACTGACAATAATAGTAATAACAATAAAAATAAAATTAATGGTAATAATAAATTATCGTTATTATTATGATTTATTACTATTATTATTATTATTATTATTATTATTATTATTATTATTATTATTATTATTTAATATTGTTAGAAACAATATTATCTAGTTTTGTCTGTTGAAAGGCAAGATTACGTGCAAGAAAATATTAGATAGATTTTTTCTTTGTAAATTTTTAAATTCCAAATCTCACTTCGAAGCAACTGAAAAAAACAAATAAATTTTTACAGCCAAAATGAATGTTTGAATCTGATTCTATGTTCAACTTTTAATTGTCCATCTAATTTTCTTAAATCAAAAAAAAATTTTTAAAAATTAAAACTAAAATAAATAGAAGAAAGGAAAGAGTGTGAATTAGAAAAATTCCATTTCCTTCTACTTTTACAGGTACTTGAAAATGAAATAGAAAAGAAATCCAGACAATTAATTATTAAGCAAAAATTTCCTTCAAAAGTAGTTTTTTCTCAATGATATATCAATCAGATAATTCAATCAAATTTATTCTTAATATATTTTTAAATTTACTATATTGCATTTCATTTTTTTTCAGGCGATCCAGCACAATATCGTGAAGTTGGCAAACAATGAATATGTCAAAGCTTTTGCTATTGTTTTTCTTGTCATAGTGTTCTTTTTCATGATTTGTTTATGTTCCACTATTTTCACTTATAAACTTTTTGAGTACTTTCATTGAATTCAAACGTGGTTTTTTCTTAAATTTATGGAAGAAAGAAGAAAAAACGAAAGTAATAAAAATTTTCAATAAATTTTTGCTTAAAATGCAAACGAAAATAATAAAACATAATCGATTCATTACAACTGAACAAGCAAAAACAAATTAAATTAAATGCTCGTTTAATTAATAATACTGAAAATATTATACGCATTAAAGCTTTCTATTTCAACAAATATTGATCAATAAATTTTCCTTATAATAGCAATGGAAAATAAAAAAGGGTCAATAAAATTGGTCAATAGGTCAACAAATGGTTTTGATTAATGTCACATGCAACGAGTATATCAATGTGTTATTAATTTATATTAACTAACTAATTCCCTTTATTGATTATTAGCATTGCAAACATAACAGTAAGAGTTTATACATAGCTTTTACAAATGATATGTATGTTTCTGATTCATTGTCTGACCTCACATATTCATTTATTTAAAAAAAAATTTTCAATTTTTTTTTTCTTTTACTAAAAACTTCGGCTATTTGTTTCATTTGTACATTATATTTATGGTGTATTTATGGTGTATCTGCTATATATATATATATATATATATATATGCATGTGTGTATGTATGTATGTATGTAAGATTGTTGTTGTTGTTCAAAGTTTAACAATTCTTTATAACCGTTCGAAAAAGGACGACCAACTTTTGTTCTTCATTTCGTCCCTTCCCTCATTCTTCTTGTCTTTCACGCCCACTCGTTTTCATTTTACCTTCAAATTAATCATTTCATTCCTTTTTTTTAACCTTTCATTGTCTGACCTCACATATTCATTTATTTAAAAAAAAATTTTCAATTTTTTTTTTCTTTTACTAAAAACTTCGGCTATTTGTTTCATTTGTACATTATATTATATTATATTATATTATATTATATTATATTATATTATATTATATTATATTATATTATATACATATATATATAATTTAATTTCCAAAAAAATAAAACGAAGAAACTTCTCTTTTTATTTTATTTATTCAAATTTCCAATAAGTTTTTAAATAGGACAGTTTTTGATGATTGAATTAATTTGACTTATATTGATAGCATTTTAAATATTTAATACACGTTAAAAAGTGAGCTAATTCTGAACTCCTTTTGAGTGCTTATTTTTGATTTATTGAAATGGCTCATTAAGAATATTTATTAATCTAGGAATATTTCTTAGTTGAATTCTCATTTGAATATTTTCTAATTATTTCAATTGTTTCATTTGAATCGTTCCATTATGCTAAATATTACATAACTTACGTGACCTTACATAGTCATACAAATTTTTCAAGCCACATCATAAACGCGAGAAACCGCGTTGTTAAGCTATAAATCTCATTGATTAGCGTCCTAAATTATAGCTTCCATTTTTACAATAATTGGAGAATTATTGTAATTCATTGAAATGTTACTAATTGACTATGTTGAAACGATGAATTATTCTATTGGAAAATAGAAAATTTTACTTTCTGTATCTGTTCTGTTTTAAAAAGTTTAATCAAACAAATCAATAAGAAGAAATGTATTAAGACTGATTTAATACAATTAGTTGATAATTATCACAATATCATTGTTAGATTCAAGTAGTTACTGTTATGCCAAACTATTTTTACTTCTTATATCGCAATATATATATATATTTACTAGCCATCTCCCTTTCTTCCTGTTTATTTTATTCATAAGTTCGATCAAGTATGGGCAGGAAGAAAAAAGAAGGAAATCAAATAATGTATTTGTAGAAAGAGATAAAACGTAATTATGAAATTTTCATTCAAATGACAATCTACAAATCGATACAACTAATATTTTAAAATTTAAGGCCATTGGGAATGCTTGGAAAATTTGGTTGACAAAAAAGAAAAGGATGTGACAGTAATAAATGAACGAATGATCTTTTTAATTTATTAATTTTTAGAAAAAAAAAAAGAAGATACAAATATAAAGATTAAATTAATGAATGTATTGAGAATTTGAAAAAAAAAAAAAAATAGGAGAATAAACGAATGGGCTGGTCAAACTTCCGTATAAAAGTTATTTGTTTAGGTCTTTAAAAAAAAATGATGAAAAATAAAAAACGAAAAGTCAATTAAAAGAAAACAAGAAAAATGAAATCAAATAATTATT